GACCGTCTAGGGCAAGCTTTATTTTCTAATCGGACACACGACTCTGCCCCCAGCGACGACCTACCCTTGGTCTCGTCGCCGCTCTCATTCCTGTCTTGCACGATGTCTGCAGCGAAGAAGATCCAGAACAAAATATTTAGCCAATCGTCGACGGGCAGCTCGGAGCCCAACGCCCAGCCCGCCGCCGACCAAGGGCTCACCATCGACATTCCAAAGCCTCCGGCTGCTCCGGTCGCGCCCCAACCCTTGCCAAAGACGACCAAGGCGCCTGCAAAGCCCGAGGAGGTCTACACGGAAGAGGATACGCGTTCGCACCGCCAGAAGATTCTCGACGAGCTTGGCACCTCCTACACCAGCGTCGAGCACTACCGCCTCGAGCAGGACGCGCGCAAGGAACGCCACTGGAAGCGTTGGGGGCCTTATCTTGCCGAAAGGCAATGGGTTAGTACCCCATTTATCGATCTTCTTCATGCTAACCAGGTTTGATCCAGGCTACCGTCCGTGAAGACTACTCGGCAAATGGCGACGCCTGGGCTGCCTTTCCCCACTCCGCCGCCCGCTCACGTGCGTACCGTTGGGGCGAGGATGGTCTTGGGGGTATTAGCGACAACCACCAGCGCTTGTGCTTCGGCCTTGCCCTTTGGAACGGCGAGGATCCATTCTTGAAGGAGCGTCTATTTGGTGTCACTGGTCATGAAGGCAACCATGGCGAAGACTGCAAAGAGCTCTACTATTACCTCGACTCGACCCCGACCCACTCGTACATGAAGTTCTTGTACAAGTATCCCCAGCGCAGATTCCCTTACGAAGAACTTGTTCGGGAGAATATCAATCGCAGCCGTGACGTGCCCGAATTCGAGCTCAACCACACCAGCGCGTTGGACGATGACCGTTACTGGGATGTCTTTATCGAGTATGCCAAGGATGCCGACGATGCAGAACCCATGTCTGTTCGTATCACTGCTTACAACAGGGGGCCAGACGCCGCCGACCTGCATATCATCCCCCAGGTTTGGTTCCCCAATACCTGGTCCTGGACACTCGATCCGCCCCCACGCCCCCAGATGAATCTCGCCGCGACTGGCACCGTCAAAATCACACATGACAAGCTTCCGGGCACTCGATACATGTACTGTATCCCTTCTCCCCCTCCTGTTGGCCCTACCGCAGATGGCGAAGATATTGTCGAGGTCGAGGGCGATGGAGTCGCTCCAGAAATGCTTTTCACAGAGAACGATACCAACTATGAACGACTCTACGGAGGCGTCAACGCTGGCTCCTATGTCAAAGACGCATTCCACGACCACATTGTCCCCGAGCACCGCCCGGTCGTCGAGGCGGAGACTGGGCTCGAGAAAAGCGAGGCTGAGATTCGTGCCGAACGCGGCGATTGCGAAGAGGACTTTGCCCGCGAACCACTGACCCCTACCGCTCGTGCACCTCCGCGTCCATTCGACGAAAAGGGCGAGCGTCCGTTTGTTAACCCCAAGAACGAGGGTACCAAGTCCGGCGCACACTACGTCTTCAAGGCTGTCCCGCCGCGTGGAGGGTGCGCTGTTGTGCGCCTCAAGCTTACCCCGCATACCCCCGACGACGACCCATCGATCTGGGACGAGGAGCTCTTTGATGATAATGTCGATGCCCGGCGCGAGGACGCGGACGAGTTTTATGCCCGGCTTGCTTCCGGTTCCGGGGGTATTACCGATGATTTGAGGGCGATTATGCGTCAAGCGCTAGGGGGCATGATGTGGAGCAAGCAGTACTACAGGTTTATCCATAAGGAATGGGCCAACGGCGACCCAGCTCAGCCTCCCCCACCCCCGGAGCGAAAATGGATTCGGAACAGGGAATGGAAGCACCTGCATATCGCGGATGTTCTCTCGTGAGTGCCCTTGACCTCGCGCCCTCTCACAACGCTGACAATGAACCGAAATGTAGTATGCCCGACAAGTGGGAGTACCCGTTCTTTGCTGCATGGGACACCGCGTTCCACTGCATTCCGTTGGCGATGATCGACCCGGCGTTTGCCAAGAAGCAGCTCGATTTGCTTACGCGCGAGTGGTACATGAAGCCCGATGGTGCCCTTCCGGCGTACGAATGGAACTTTTCGGATGTGAATCCACCCGTACATGCCTGGTATGTGTTGATTAACGGATGTATGCGGAGAAACTTATGCGCCTTATCTCGCCCTTTACCACTACCCCTCCGCCCCTATCCTCGGCTATGATTCGAACCTACCCCAACCCAACTCGTCCCCGCCCTCGACTCTAACTCCACACCCCACCCCGCAGGGCCACGTTCCGCGTCTTCAAAATCGAGCGGAAGCTTACAGGCAACGAGGATCTCCAGTTCCTGGAACGTGTCTTCCAGAAGCTGTTGCTTAACTTCACGTGGTGGGTTAATCGTAAGGACGCAGGTGGAAACAACGTGTTCGAGGGTGGGTTTTTGGGGCTTGACAACATCGGCGCTTTCAACCGGAGTGAGCCCCTGCCAACCGGCGGCGTGTTGCGGCAAGCAGATGGGACGGCGTGGATGGCATTTTATTGTCTGAATATGTGAGTTTGGGTGGTGTCGGCCAGCGGAGAAACTAAATTGGGACCAGGTTGAACATGGCGCTCGAGCTTGCCAAGCACAACAGCGTGTACGAAGATATTGCAAGTAAATTCTTCGAGGTATGTTCCCGATTTAGTGTTTGTGCATACATTTGTCTAATATTTGTTTAGCATTTTATCTTCATCGCCGACGCCATGACCTACCGCGAGGGCGACCACGAGTTGTCGTTGTGGAACGAGGAAGAAGGTTTCTACTTTGACGCGATCCAGTGGGGCGAGTCGCACTCTCAGCAGATGCCTATTCGCTCGCTCGTTGGTTTGATCCCGTTGTATGCGACCCTCGTTCTTGAGCCAAGCGTCATCAATCGGTTCCCTGGTTTCAAGAAACGCATGGAATGGTTCATCGACAACCGCCCGGAGATGGCGCAGAGGAATATGGCGAATATGGCGGGTAAGCATAGGCTCGATCAGTTGTAGGGATGAGGCTAAGTGCAATGCCCGAATAGCACGCGGAAAGGGCGAGCGGAGGTTGTTGGCTCTGGCTAGCAAGGAGCGACTGGTCAAGATTCTCGAGAAGATGTTGGACGAGTCCGAATTCTTCAGCGATTATGGTATCCGCTCGTATGTCTATCAACCTTCTCGACCGAACTTGTACTGACTAGAAAATTAGCATGTCTTTGCATCACAAGGACCACCCATGGTCGATCCACGTCAACGGTCAAGACTTTGGTGTTGAGTACTGGCCTGGTGATTCGAGGTCCGGCATGTTTGGTGGAAACTCGAATTGGCGCGGTCCCATCTGGGTGAGTCGTGACTCGTAATTTATCCCCAGTTGCTAATCCACTCTCAGTTGGCGGTCAACTTTTTGTTAGTCGAGTCTCTCCAACGCTTCCACCAATACTACGGCAGCGACCTCCAAGTCGAGTGCCCGACTGGTAGCGGTGATTACATGGACCTCGCCAAGGTCGCCGACGAGATCCAGCACCGGTTGATTCATATCTTTGGTCGTGACATGGACGGCCGTCGTGCTATGAACGGAGGCGAGGACAAGCTCGACAACGATCCGCACTTTAGGGACTATGTCTGGTTCCACGAGTTCTTCCATGGAGATGACGGGCGAGGTCTGGGGGCGTCGCATCAGACAGGATGGTGAGTTCTCGAGTCGTGGTGGAACCAAACCACTGATGTTTTGGGAACTAGGACCGGACTGGTTGCGTTCTCTATTATGCAGAGCGGGTTGTCATGTCGCTTGCCCCGTACGCCAAAGAGTACGTTTATATGCTTCAGCCGTCAGTCCTGGACTAATATTTATTTGATTCTAGCCCCTCGCAGCGTGGCTCGTCATTACTTTGACGTATGTCGCTTTATTTTGATGAGAATGAGCCTCATACTGACCTGTATCTTTCAGGAACACATTGACACGGCGTCCGAAGCTGGCGCGCCGTTCTCGGCCGCCTACAGCGCCATGGATGCGAACACGCTTGGCGACGTCTCCCCCGATGCGCTCTAAATAACCCCGAAACTTGGAAATGAATTATTGAATTAAATCTGGTTCTAGATGTTGGGTTAGACTTGAAGCTTTGTGTATATCTGGGTTATGTTGACTGTATATATGTTGCTGATGCATGCACCTGTCACTTTTATGTGATAAATACCTGCCGCGATCGACGAGACTTCGAGTGCGTGAAGATGATGTTGGTAAACAAAGTAGTTGGTAGGACTGCGTGACACAGTGGGCTGCGGCAACACGACACAGGGCCCGGCAAATTAGGGCCACTTATAAGCGGACGAGTCGGAGGGAGGCGAGAACACATAAACTAAATGCTGCGGGTAAGATCCAGATTGAACTGCAGATGTACACAAAGTCGAAAGGCCGTTCTAGCCACAACGACGGTAGGCGTGACTTAGGCTCGAAATACAAAGTTGTGGTGCTGCGTGAGCAACAGCGAAAATGGAGCCTGGGGGTGACAGTACACATGTACGGGCGGTGGTGCATAATTTAGTGCCAAGCAACTTATGGAAGATCCGACAGTACCTGATCTCCCGGGTACAACACAAATGAGAACGCACAAAACGAATCACTGATTCTGGTGATACGGTGGTGGCCTTCACAGTGGCAAGCGCTGAAAACTAGGGTTTTGTGCAACCCGTATCCCTTCAAGCGCTGATTCGGGATATCAGGTACTGTCGGATCTACTATATCTATCTCGACGCAATTCCCTGTAAATCACTCACCCCCACAGGCAATATATATTACAGCATGTCACTCCCAGGCTCCGTTTTCATTCTCTGTAGCTCACACAGCGCTGCAGCTTCGTATCTCGGACTAAATCATACTCACAGCCGTTGTGGCTAGACTGGCCTTTCGATTTCTGTTGCGAAACAGCTATAAAATGCAATCAGCAGGTAGTGAGCGGTTTACCGCTCACAGTACCAACATAAAAAAGACTCCGGTACGGGGAATCGAACCCCGAGCCGTCGCGACATGAATTTCAAATTGACATGTGTCGAAATGAAAGGCGACAATGTTAGCCGTTACACCATACCGGACTGGTAGACATCAGCCACAAAGGATGGTAGTTCACAAAGCGTTTCAGAATTATTCCGAGGCACATACGCGCATACCACCAACGTATCATGCATAGTATTCATAAATTGTGACACCTCAAGAAGGTTCTAAACTAACCCTCGACAAAGTACCTTGACGGACTGCAGCCTGCCGACGCCTAGCTGTTCACGACCAGGCTTTTCCCCTGACCCCCTCTCAGCACAGCTCGTCTGCCGCACACGGCGCTGCGGACAGGGAGCACGTTATGAATACGCCTTCCCCCCACTCCCCTTCCTTCAGTCTCCACTTCATACACAACTGGTCTTCATCCGGTTCCCATTCCTTTCCCCCTACCGCGTAGCCAGCCTTTCTGAGAAATAGGGCCCCACCGCCCACCCTACAAACCCCGCTCACGGGGTTGGTGGCTCGTCCACCCGTTTGCGCAGCGCTTAACGGCGGCCCACAAACCCTCCACCCCACCGCGATCTTTCACCTCTCAACGTGGTCATACATGATGCAAACCCAATATCATATACATTCCCTCTGCTGCCTACAACGCGTCAAGCACTGTCACAGGCTGAGCATGAAGTCAGGCAATCGTGCTGAGTTGTTGGATCGCGAGCAGACCGAAGATATGCGGAAAGAATAAATGTCATGCCGCGCTTGGCCCCCACAAAGTGCCACGGGGCAAGGTAGTACCACGAGAAAGCGTCGGTGTATAGAGAAACAGAAAGTGGCCAACAGGGTCGACGAATCAATTCCAAAGTACGGGCACTATTACCTCAGGGCGACTACGACTACGGTAGAACTATCAAAATGACCAACGCACGGGCTGAAAACCCCTACGTGTTGGTTGAAATAACCATAATCACCACACGCATCATATCACTCGAACATTCTATCAGGTAAGCTATCAGCATGGCCTCACGCATATACTCACCAAGCATATTGCGGATATACCCGTGGCCTAGATGCTGATCCTGCGACTAAATCTCTGCCGCAAGGAGGATCGGCGATAAACAGAAGGGCATTGCCAAGTGCTCGATCCCTGCAGTGCCCCTAGTCGGGTCCTCAACTCTCAGCGATGACGATTTTGGCACACCCACTCTGCGAACAAGATCGATTTGTACGCATCGGGCTCGCATAACGATATCTCCCTCTAGAAGCTATGGACATGACGGTAGTGAAACAGTTCAGTTTCAGGTACCCAAGAGCATCCATTCGGCTTCCAATAGCTGGAGTCCAGCACGAGGAATCCGGACACTGGAGAGTTAAAACCAATTCCAGAGGCACAAGTTTGCACAAGTCCCGATCTAGTCCAGGACGGTGGCCTCGATTGATGATCGGATATCAACCAAAAGCAAACCACCACCAACCAGCAGAAAAGGCAAGAAAACACCCGGCCAACATACCAAACGCTCCACCCCAACACGCGGCTTTAAAAAGCGCACGGTCCCCCCTGTTGGCAACAGCGAGGGCGAGCACGATGTCATCACAAATAGGATCACAAGACATCCAAGCCCCTATTCCAATTAACACATTCATTGTCGACAGAGGTGGAATACGTAGATCGGGGGTATATACACAGTTCGAGGCCAAATTTAATACTCCATCATAAACAAGTCCGGCGTCCCCCGCACACCACCGAGCAACTTTCCCTCCCCCTCGTGAAACGCAAATAGCGGCCCAGACGGTGCATGCTCAAGCAGCGCCTTTCTGTACTCTCCTAGATCCAGCTCGGCCGGATTCAACGGCGCTTCGTATTGTTGTAAAGGGTCACTGTTCCCCGCACAGAGCCGTCCAAGTGCGATACCAAAAGGTTGGCCCTCTGCGGACGTTATCCAAACAAGACGAGAATGCCCCCCGTTGATCGCGCCTAGAGAAAAAGGCTTCATCCAAGGCGCAAGTAGGTATGAGACCGAGCGGCGGTAAGAGAACCCGTAATCGTCTGCTCCAGTGTTTTCGGCGTCAGAGGGAAGACGAATATCAAAGTGGGTGACTTCGGCACCGCTCTCGCTTAGTGCTAGCAGTGGCACGCTCGTGTAGTTGGAGAGAGATCGGGCAGCAGAGGACCGACGTTGTGCGAGGAGACCAAAGTAGTGAGTCGAAGGTAGGCGAGTCAAGAACCTGGTCGATATGACCGAAGAGTCTGGGGAAACAGGTTTATAGATGGCTATGAAGCTATCAGACTGGAAGAGTAGTTGGTCGTTTGGCAGAAATTGGAGAGAGATCGTCTAGAGCAGGGGTGAGCATCAAATACAAAAGCACGAACCAGCAACCCACCTTGCGAGATGATCGATATTCTCCTTGAAACTCGTAGCGATCAGGAGCATCAACCCGTTCACCACCCGAGGTTCGGTGCATGAACACTTGGATGACATGGGCGGCATCAACGATGGCACAATGCCGGTCTCCCAGCGCAATATCCATGATTTCTGAAGCCAGATTTCGAAGCTGCATAGTCGACGACAATATAAAATCCGACGTGCTCAGCACAATCCTCCCCTGCGTACGACTCTGCGCAGCAACCAGCTCTTCCACAGAAGCGGTGACCAGCCCACATTGAAATCTATAACCCAGTGAGTCAACGACCGAGACTAAAAAATGAAATACGAACTCAAGCGCCACGCTAAGCCGACCAGCCCACATTACAGCCACACATTCACGCCCAGACTCGCACCATACAGCCACGCACAGCTTGTTAATCTCGACCGGAACGGACAGCATCCTGATCCACTTGACCCCTCGCTCGAAGCCCAAGCCAAAAGGGGCGCAGACGTACACACCACCCAAGTCAGACGCAACTGCCACCCACCCGTCCATCGAGGCCATGGCGGTGAGCGATTCGTTGTTTGGCATGGAGAGGCGGTACGAGCGGCGGGTGGATATGCAGGAGGCTGTGCTTTTCTTTGGTGACCAGGTACGCGAGAGCTCGAATTGGCGGCGGACGAGTAGTTCCAGTGCGTGGTTCGATAAGGTGTCGAACGGTGTCGAGGCGGGGGTTGGAAAGTAGGGATGTGAAACAAAGTTGATCCATAGTTGACGATTCTCGGTTAGGTACTTGAACCATTTGCCACACTTGAAGTCGCTAATCAGATGCTGGATGAATGACAATTGCTGGATGCTCACCCGCCGGACGACCATGAGCTCCGCTACAGTCAAGAACCCCATAATGATAACTATCACATCTTCCGGCAAAGTCTCGTGCGCGTCTAGTCGCCCTGGCGATACATTGCAAGCCTGAGCTCGAGACGTCTTTGGATTCGGTTTGCGAAGGGTAGAAGGTTGTCCGTCGAAAAACGGTTCGGCATGTCCGCGATTCCGAGCGAGGCCAAATGGCAAGTCTCTGTGCAACATAATGGTCGAGGTCGAAAAGAGGCGCAGCTCGAGCGCTTGTCCGGTGAAACTCGGCTGCCAGATATGGGCTTGTGCCTTGATCACAACCCGAGCTCCACGGTACGAGTACTGACGCACTATAAGATAAAATATGAAACCATGCGTAGGCTTACTTACTTATCGGACCCTAGCTTCGCGCGTTTGTTGACCACAAGGTGTGTTGGTTACTCGGAAGCTGGCAACACATCCGGTTCACCATTACTGCAGGGTAGCTTAATGCGAGAAGGGCTGACGTATCGTCGTGACTCGAGCGCGGAGACAGGAAGGAGTTGACGTCAAGCCCATGACACTCACGTGATGTTGAGTTACTAAGCTGACAAACACATCCCGCCCCTCGCTTCGCCTTGCTCTCACCGCTTTTTGCTTGCGCAGTAACCCACCTCTAGTCGACCGTTTACCCCGTCCGCCTCTCCACATGCTCTTCAACGCTTCCTCCGCCACAACGACGCGCTTCAACAATCCTTCCATTGAGCACTTTCTCCCTACATCGGAAGAGCACACCTCCAAGCCACAACAACTCCGGTCGTCTTTGCACCACCGCCCACGACAAAATCCCGCCACAGCTCCTTTACTCGCATCCCACGTTTCACAACCGCTTGCACTAGCCCCCACAACCCTCCACGTCACACTTGCCCATATCAAGCCAAGGCACACCGAGTCACGACCTACCTTTTATACTTCCCCATATCCCGCTAGCCAACCGGAGCCGAGGCTATATGGGCGGCAAATGGGGGAACTACCCGATCCCCCGGCTAATCCATCGTGGTCCATGCGCGCTCCGACGGGTTTCCTTATATAGACGGCTTTGACCCCGTGCGAGGAGAGAACACGGACAACATGCACGAGTTGGGGTGAGTGGACGGGTTTGATGTGCGGTATCACGAATCATCAATTCAGCCACCCCCTCGTGGTGCAAACGATTTTGAGTTTATTTCTTCGGCCTCGTGGTGTCTGTCACATGTGTGATGGTGGAGTGGTCACGCGGCGCCAAGGGGACGACGGGAGGAATGACTATGGTGTGTCAACTCGAGGTATCGTGTGTCCGCAGTTGAGAAGAATGGGATGGGTACAGGTTTGGCGCGTCGCATGTTGGAGTCGCTATGCATACCTGTCGTCTGGATTCAGTCGTACGGTGTGAATCAGTGGGGTGTATAATACAAATATGATCGTATGCATTGTAACTCTACATGACATTCAACATGTTGACATCAAGGCGTTTATCGTCCTTCTGAGAAAACGAAGAGCGCAACGTGGTAAACTAGACTCACCCTTTCAACCTCGATGATAGGAGCCAGGTCGGCCGAGATCGCACGGAGCCTCGAGTTTGGGTGTGCGAAGGGGAACCGGGTCTAGGTCCGGGATTGCGAAGCGTTCAAGGGCGTCGCATAAGTAGTGTGTCTTTTGTTGCATACATATCATCAGATAGGTTCGACATGTGAACAAGTCTCACTGGCTACCAATGACGTCGGGTAATAATAGCAGATCAGGTCGTCAACGGGGATAATACCCGAATGTCCTCCGAAGGTCGACTGAACTGGGCGAACAAGCCCACGGGCTGGTGGCCCGACCTGCACTCGGCTGTACGACTGTGACGTGACTGATTGCG